GGTACGTGCATAGAATTTTTGACGTCAATGCCTAAAATTATTTTTTACAGATTATGTAATTATTATGGAGACACTAAAGATTGTATTGCCGATCTGTAATTTGTCGTCAAAACTATTTTTTAATCTTCTGTCAACATACATTTGAGTTATCATTTGAATCCAGCCTTTAGAATCAAAAACAAGTTCTTTCCCCCACCCTTTTTTAAGACTAGATTTTGTGCAAAAATTTCCATGATTTGTGTATCGCGCAACAGTTTTTAGCACAAAATAATAACAATCTTTTAAGTTGTTTTGGAGACATATTAAAATGAAGTATTTTTATTTCTTGTCATGTTTTTAAATGACTTATCTGTTTAGGAGTTTTGAATATTTGGATTCTAAAATTTGACTGAGGATAATAAATGCTACGAAACACAACTTTATGCAACAACAACAGAATTACTTTTTATAGCAAATGTTAATGAATTTATGGGGGGAAAATTTATTCCCTAACTCATTACATAATCTAAGAATAGAACGCCTAGTGGGCATACGTGGAGAATATATGTGTCTCATTTACATATATGTATGTAAAAATATGGTCTGAGAGTTGCAGGTAACTTTCAGAGGAGGTAATTTTACGGAAGCTGTAGCTGTGTGAGGGTAAAATGTGACATCCAAAAAAAGTCAAAGTATGACTTTCATAAAGATCATGCTTCTACCCTCCATTATTGGCGACTCCAGAAATTCTTCAGTAGTGTTTTGGAGAAAAAACATAGGCACTTTGAAAAATGGGAAAAAGTATTATAAAACCTAAATCTGGGAAGGGCATGGTTAGTTTTAACTGTAGCAGAGTCGCAAAGAAGGGACCATATATGCATCTGCCAGCTTTTATAGATTTTTCAGAACGCTTATGAAATTTGTTCTAACTTCATATTGTGCATAAAATAGATTTATGATTTTTTAGTTTTATAAAGGCACTACAAAGAGCCAGATTGATTGTCCATTATAGGTATTTAATTTGCAAACTCTTTTCAGACATTTGGTTTATTGTTTAAATTACTCTACATTATAAAACACACAGGCCATACCTCCTAAAAATCTTTCCCCCTTTTTTAAACACGAATGGGATTGTTACATATGGTAGTGTGTCAACATATTAACTACTTTAAGATCAAGTTGTGTACATAATTTTTGATTTCAGAGTTTCTGAGCATAAACATAACATTAGCATAGTTCAATTTTAATAGGTCATAAATGCCTTGATTCTGAAGATAAACAAGTAAAAGTTATCAAGCATAATTTTAAAATCACTTTTTCTGAAAGAAAAAAAAACTGCTGTAATTATTTTAAAATTACATGATTACTGTTTTCCCATCTGTAATTGTTTCAAGATAATCAGATGGATTTCTGTAGTAAATTCACTCCTCCCTGATTCCCACCCCCAAAATCAATTTTATAAAGTTGGCAGATATGACTGAGAGTTAACTGTTAAGGCAGTTTTTCTCTGAGGTTCTAGGCTGCATTCATATGAAAGCAAGACTTGTTATTTCACTGTTTGGAGCATTTTTTTGTAAAAAGCAGTTAAAGTTATTTGAATTTTCTTTGTTAAATTCCATCAGTGTAAGATATCAGACATATTTTCTTTGTCTTCTCTTCTGTTATGTTTTCTTAACGCACAAGCAAGAAAAATAAAAAAGTGGTTTTTCACATGGATAAAATCACATAGATAAGATATTTCTATGTTAATAGGCATTCAACTAACCAGAAGTAGAAATTTAGACTCCTGTTAAAAAGTAGGCAAATGAGAGACTTGTAAGGCCATCATAAAGAATGTGCAGGGTATTTTTGCCAGACAGTGGATAAGCATGTTGCCTCAGCACAGTCGTAAGATCTTCACCCTGGTTTAATGTATACCGTTTTATTCTCAATAAGCCAGTTTAGTTTATATCAAGAAATTAACAGCATTCTGAGGAGTTTTTTTAAGTTATGTAGTCCTGATATCAAGAAAAGTATCCGTTAATAGATACAATATGTGAACAGTGTGGATACCACTTGTAAAAATTATAAGCATGTTTGATTTTCTGTAATGCTGTCTGTAACTGTAGTTTAAGCAAAGAGCAAATGATCTGTTCATTTAAATTTCTACTAGAATGATTGGTGCAAATTTAGCAGCATTTCCACCAACTTTGATGGCTGGATTTCATTAACTGATGAGATGTTTTAATTTTCATGTCAGTTTTTATGTCTGAAATGTTCCTATAAGTAGCTTCCGTTGGCAGGCATTTGTGATCTATACAGCTTTAATGCTTGGATTACATAGTGGGCAGTGGCTTGTTCCACATTTCCTCTCCAATCAATCTCTATTGCTGCTAGTGTCTTATACCATTACAACCATGTCAACATTCTGCACAGCACTTGTAGCCCAGCTTCCCATGAAGATTGCATTAATTTTCACTACCTCTCCTTTTCAGTACTGCACAGGTATAAAGAGAATGTAAATTTTTGATAGTTACTAAGAGGACTTTATAGTTTTAGATCAGAAATTTTATCTTCCATTTATTTTTAGCTTTTTTGATAGTTACTAAGATGACTTTATAGTTTTAGATCAGAACTTTTATCTCCCATTTATTTTTAGCTTTTCTGCGATAAACTGTAATTTTTATGTACTCAGATATCTGGAATTTTCACTTATACGTCATTTGACATTTCCCAAGTTTCCCGGATAGTCTTTAAAAGTTTTTTTGGAGGGTTATTAATGATAAGTAAATCTCTTGAAATACGTGTAATTGTAGTGTTTAATGTAAATATTTAAAAACATTTTATTTCTAATGTTAACTATTTGATAATTTTTAGAGTTCATTTTATTTGTAGAATGGTATTATGTAAATGAAGTTGGTTGTCCAGAAAGTTGGTTTGGTATATTCAAGTCCCATTTGGTGATTTGTCCTTTAATTCTTTTTCCATTGATGGTCCGTGAATATTTTAAATTTCTCTGTGCAAGTATGTGTACGACTACTTGTATGCATTAGGATAACGCCATTTCAGTGATACTTAAGTATCACTGTAACCTTTATACTAGTGGTTCTAATGAACTCTTGATTTTCATTGTGACCCTTAATACCACCTGTTTTATAGGTATCTTTGTTTTGAGTTGTAAATCTGACCCGTGTCTCGTCCAACTTAATAGTATAGCATAAAAAACCTTGCTTATAGTCCTCCAAATGAGTTCTAATTATTTCTGCTTTTCCGACAGCACCACTATTCATGTTTTAAAAGCAGCTTATGTACAGTTATGGTTGATTGTAATTTTGTTTTTAATATTTCTGGATATTTCTTTTTCAGAAGTATATTTTGCTGGCCTTCTTTTTTCTAAAGAGTTATTTTTTAAATTCTAATTGTTTTCTAATTCTGCTTTGGAATTACTTTTTTTATAAACAACTTGCGCAAGAAAATAGTATAAAATAATGGGACTAAGTAATATCTAGGAACAGTTTTTATTGAATTATATGTTTCATAGTGCTGCGTATTCTCTTCAACATTTCAATGCAAATATTGCTCAGAATTAAGCCATTTTGGCGTAAAAAAAACTGTTTATTAAAGGTCTTAGCTGTCTTTGCGAGAGATTCTGGATAAAAGAATCAAATTTTTCATTGCATTTTAAATGTTTTGTGAAGAAACCATTTGCTCTTGTTTTGAGAAAATGAATTTTAAGCTTCATGACAACAATATCCAAAAGATTCACTTTTGTCGTAAACCTTTCTTTTTGTAAAATTAATATATATAATTTCAGTTTATTATTGCTTAATACATGTCTGTTGAAAAGCAAATATTTTATTTATATGGCCTTTCTTTTGTGTGCTTGAAATTTTGTCCTTATGAGGGGGAAAATACAAATATAATTTATTTATACACATTTGAAGTTTTTTCACTGTTTTGAAAATTGTTTGGAAGATGATTATTTTCACCGAGTCATCACATTTGTGTCATTTGAAATACTTCCGTTTTCCCCTTCCTCGTTTTTAAGGATTCTAGTATCATACTAATAAAGGAAATCTAGCTAATAAAAGCTGTGCTGCTGAGAAGATAAACTTGCCTGCATATTTGAGTTGTTTTAGGAAAAGTATTGAAAACTAAAGTTCTTAGGTATAAAAACAAAGTTTGGTAATAAGCTGTGCCAAAGGGGGAGGTCTAAAATTATAATTTAATGTATGTGTTAAATGTAGTTCTTTGTTTTTAAATAATTCCTTGGGAAAAGGGGAATATTATATAAGGTGAAACTTGAAAGAAAACATGTTAGAAAGATTTAAATATTATAGGTGAAAAGCCTAACCCCATATGATGTGTTATTTTAAAAATTTAAACATTTTTTACCAACTCCATGGCTGTTAGAATTTAGTTAAAAAGAAACAGGTATTCACATAACAGATTTTGGTCCTTGTTTTTATTGATTGCATTAAACATTTTAGAGAATTATTTAAGATCTTCTGATGTTATCTTTTACATGCATAACATAATGTGTTTGATTGTTATTGACAGGCCTCCAAGTCGATTTTTAGCTCTTTGAATTACTGATGATGAAAATAGAACTGTTTATATGTTCTTGGGGATTGGTGTCACAGGTGAGATATCTTGATATAATATCTAAAATTGAATGTGGTTGTGATTTAAATTATTGTCATCTGGAAACATCTGGTGTCTTGGTACTGTGTTTTGTAAGTCTTTTAACTATGTTCTCATTCTGAAAGCATATACGTCAGTAAAACTTTTGAAACAAAGATATTGTGAAGCTTTTTCCCTTTATATAATTGGTAAGTCATTCTTTACTTCTATTTTTTCAGTCTGCTTTTATTATTATCTACCAAGTTTTCATTTTTTAGATCATAAATTTTAGCTTTCCTAATACAAACGGAGCTAATAGCATTTATTAACAAGCAGTTTGGCCTGTTGGGAATGCTTTACAGCAGCCCTTTTCCACACTAAAATTAAATTATGTGTATAATTATTTCCAAATATTGCAGATTATTGTGACTTTGTTGGAAGTTCTGAAAGTGAAGAATAAGAAATTAATGCAAACGGCTTGGTAAGTGTATTTTGCATACATTTTATTATTAAATAATGCATAGAATATTAATGCAGTAATGCTCTCATAGCTTCAGGTAATAATTCTGTGTATATATATATATTACATGATACACAACATTTCAGATTATATGGGATACTGTGTTATTTGTTGATATATATTATATAGTGTTTGCATAATATATAACCTAACTACAGGGTGTCATAAAAAAAAAGTTCGCTAATATATGATCCCCTAGCAGCATATTCCGCTGAGCGAATGAAAATGAAATTTTAGGTATTGCTATTTGAAGGTATGCACTTGAGATTGTGATTATTTAAAATAAGAAAACTCTCACAGTTAGTCACAGAAAAAAATTTCGAAACTTTCGAATGGAAATGCCGATTTTTTTCCCTGTGCAAATTGAGCAGCGCATTTGAGAAACCTTAAAATGGCATTAGAATGATACTCATATTAACAAAAATTACTTGCATAAAACATTTCATATGAAAGTAAAGGATTTTTATTTTGTCATATTCTCAAAAAATACATTGAAAGGTATTGTGCCTGAGCTGTATATTTTAAGTTATCATACCTGTGCTGCAAGCAAGAGTAACAGGGCAATAATTGTAATATATTGTAATTCCATAAAGAGTGAAATAGTTGCTTTTTTTATCACTGAATGGATATTCGTTGACTTCATATATTAAATTTTCATATATTAAATTTTGTTGATTATATATTAAATTATATAAACATATATTAAATTTTGTTGATTTAGATATTTAAAATGCTGTATTCCACTCTGGTCCACGTCTTAAGAGTTGTCATTTTTTCTGGTTAAGAACCGGAATATTTGTCTGAAGTCCATTTGAGAAACTGGGACATTTTTCTTACTGTAATGGTATTTTATTTGGTCAATAAAGGCAATAAAATAGCTCACCTAATTGTAACTTGTATGCTTTTGCCTCGGTGCAGTACTGAATTGTTGACAGAATGGTTGGGTGGAGTGATGGAATTGTTATACCTGATGAATATCTTGAAGTATCAAAGGGTGCCAGACCAGTCATACACAAGAAAGGTAACAGACACTGACATGGACATGTGAAAAGTAGCACCCAACAAAAGCAAAATTTGGTGAGAAAGCAGTTTTTCCAACTAGAAATCGGGAATGAAGAATCTATCCTATTTCCTGTTCCATCTTGTAAATTTTCGTATGAGGGAGAGAAGCAGGGGCCAACATATTTGGGGGGTGGAGAACATTATTTCGAGACATTGAAAACTTTTATCAAAACTGGGACGTCCACCAGTATTTTCTGTAGTTACTTGTATTTAACTTACTAATTTATTTTTCATTTTCCAGAAAATGAAGAAACAGTAAACTTTTCAAATGGAGGAATAGCTATTAGATTTTGAAAATACAAATAGTACTAATCTTTAGAGTAACATGTAAATGATAAATGAATTTAGGTCTGAAATAGGCTCTGAGGAAATAAATTATATCTATTAGATATTTGGGAGAAAAATAGCCTATTTAGTCATTCACCTTGCTGTTTCACCTATTTTCATTATATACAAATGATGAGGGTACTTTAGTTCATTAAGTATAATAATAAGGAAGAAAAATCCCATATAGGTAAGAACCTGATATGCAAATCTTGTGATCAAATAAATGTGGAATTTCTTCTTGTGTAAATCACATTTGTAATTTGTTGATAAGCACTGAATTCTTATACCCCATTAATCTTAAATATAGCATGCAAAAGATTTTGTAGTTTAAAGATTGGGCATAGGACAAAATAATGAATAGTTTGAGGCTGACTGCTTGATTAACTACTGCTGTTAACTCGGTGCTGTGCATTTGACTTGGTTGTATGTGTGGTACCTCACCTCCCTGCATGTGAGTGTAATATTGGTTACATATGTAATGTACTTTAGCCAGTATTCTTGATGATAAGGCTGCTGAATATGTGATTTATTCAGATGTTATTCCCAAAAAATGCTTAAATATTAAGTGTTCAACCATTAAAATTTAATAAGAAACATTAAAATACTATAATGAATGTAAATTTTAATTGTAAATTTCTTTTCATTATTAATAATAAATTTACATATTACAAAATTTATGTGATGCAATTTTTGCTAAAGAAACTGATGTTTATAAAATAGTGTCAGATGAGTGCTCATTTAGTGTTGGTTATTTTTTGGGGGGTAGGGGGAAACATATTTGTGGCTCGTTTTCTATGCAGTACAAGACTATGATTTCTTCACAACATAAAAACAACTCGAAATAGCTTGCAGTAAATCTTTTATCTCTATATTTGTCAGTATCCTAAACATTGCATAATTCATATGCTTAAATCTTTAGAAAGGTAGTCATAAGCTTAATCAAGAATACACACATGTCCAACACTAACGGAGCCATAAAGATGCATGTACATGAATAAAGACAATTTTCAGATATTAGGTAACAAACAACTTGCTAGATATAATAAATCAAAGTAATGGTAGTTATATATCAGAGCTAAGCATAGATGAAAGTTGGAAGCATAGTATTTACTAAAGTCCACACAGTTTCACTTAACTATTGAGTAGAGATTATATCTATTTCAGACTTTGATGGAGCAAATCACAGTGTCATGGCATGTTCAGGAGTTACCAAGTGGTTTAGAAGCTCAGGGACAGACTGTTCTGCTTCTCTTTCAGAGCATAGCTTGGTCTTGGTCGCTTTTTGATGTATGTCTGTGAGTACTGTTCCATCTGTTTATAACGTGCTGATGGGTGTCGAAATGCTTAGTTGGGGACTCAAATCTGGGTAATGCACAGGCTAATCAGTTCAAAGGATATGCTCCAGATTTTTCTTTACTGTGGTTCGATGTGGCATTGCTTTATCATCCCTAAAAGGAAATGTTTCATCAACATCAGAAGACATAAACATGGGCCTTAGGGTATCTGCTCACAGTAGTGTCATCTCCTGTGGTAGCTGAGTATATTTATCAGTTACGAAGCCATCCACTCCATTATCCCAGCACTACCATAGTAATATCATTCTTTTAATAATTTCTTACCATTATGCTTTAGTCTTTTCATATTATATGAAGTAATGTCAATAGAGAATAGAAGAGTAGCGTTTATTACATTTAGTTGTGTACATTGTTGTCTAGTACAGTTACATAAGAAATGTGACTGGTAGTGTACCTGAAATACATTTTCATCATTTGAATCATTTGAAGCAAAAAACCCAAAAGACAACACCTTATGATTCCAAACTTTTAATTTTGGAGCATCAACTCATATAATCCTTTCATGTGTAAAATTGAAATCTCTCTGAGCCATGTTACAAATTTTGCATTTGTAGATTTATTTTGTAATCTAAATTACTCGCAAACAGTGTTCACTGGTAATGCTGATTTTTATTTCTTTAAAATTGGCTTGTGCCCATATCGCATATTTACCAGCTTTCTACTGTGCATAATTTAATTATATAAACTGCAGTAAATTCAAATTATTTAGATAATGCAAACTTTTTAAACCACTTAAATTATGCAAAATTCATCATTTAATTATGTAAACTGCAGTAACTTCAAATTCTACAGTAATAATTTTGTAAAGGTGATGCATTTTTGATCATATGGGTATAAATTTTCTCTCTATATAGATATGTTTTCATATGGATATAAATTTTTTATTACTGCAAAAATATTCAGATTTGTGAAGTGACAAAAACTCAGTTTAATTAGTTCTGCACGTGAAAGAAAAGAGCAGCTGCGGTAACCTGAATGTAATTTTAAAATGTTTTTTATGTAAATAAATGAAAGTGATGCATATTTTACATAATTTGCAGTAATTGCAAATCTTGCAAGTTCTAGAAAAAATAATGTAAAAACAATATTGCTACTGGTTCATTTTTAAATGTAGAAGTGTTTGTGAATGCTAAAAATATAAAACTTTGTTAAAAATTTCAATTTTCTTTTCTTCCACTCTCTGTCTAGGAATTACATGAATGATAGTTTAAGAACTGAAGTATTTGTTCGTTATGATCCTGAAACAATTGCTTGTGGCTGTATTTATCTTAGTGCAAGGTTGCTACAGGTTTGTAGATTTGGTTATTTTATTGTCATTTGTTTTTTCTATTTAAAATTGTTTGTTTTTCATTTTTTATTGTCTCACTTTTAAATTTTGCATTTTTCATCCTTTTCAGATACCATTGCCAAATAAACCAGCTTGGTATCTTGTTTTTGGTGTTGCTGAACAAGATATTCATGAAATTTCTTACATAATTCTATCCTTGTATACTAGAAGAAAGGTAATAAATTTCTACTGCTTTCTGTTTAATTTAAGTGTTAAAAATATTTCTTAAACATATCACTGCTTTATAATAAATGGAAAATTTTTGACTAAAAATTTAAGTTTTTAATTTTGCAATGAAAAATGAAGAAAACTTAAATTCTATTTTATCAGTTCCTTTACAAAATTTATGCTCTGGTAAATGCAAAGGTAATATGCAAAACATGTATATACAGGGTGTCTCGTAAATGCTGCAACAAACTTCTGGGGGAGGTAGGGCACATCATAAGTATTAAGAATTGCATAGAAACCCATGCCCAGAAATGTCATTGTATGCCGTCAGGGTGTGCTGTACAGGAGAGTGCTCGTGAAAAGTGAAGATTGCCTTGAGTGGTATGTACAATACAAAGAGCATGGAATGTTATATGAACCAGGAACTTACAGACACGTATTTACTGTATAGAATAGCTGAGGGTAATGGACGAACCGCTGCACGCATTTATCAATAAAGCTTCTCCGACAGACACCAACCATACCACAGCTTGCACGTCTACATCAAAATATGTGCGGTTGCGGGTCATTAAGAAGTGACACATTTTCGACTGGATGTCCATAGCCATTTGAACAGATCATTCCCACATCAATGGATTAGGTGTGAAGAACCAGTTCCCTAGCTCACCAGATTTATAGAGCCTTGATTTCTTTTTGTGGGAAGCCATCACAATCCTGTTGTATCTGAAATGGGTCTCATGGCGAGACTCTCCTGCACAGCTACTACAATCAAAGAAAGTCTGGTGTGTTTAACATGTCTGGCAATCAATGGTCCGTCGGTGTCTGGCATGTTTGCCATCTGTTGTAACAGTCAAGCTGTCGTACACCATTTGTATTCATGTCCAATAAATGTTTCAAATTAGTCACTCTTGTTTCTTTTATCATCTTTTACTTCAGCTATTTACCCCTGACATTTCTGGGCATGGTTCCTATGGAATTTTTAATCCGTATGATGTGCCATACCTGCCCCAGAAGTTTTTCGCAACATTTACAGGACACCCTGTATATGTGTTCAGAACATCATTTAGAGCCTGGAAGTCAGATTTGTGTAGCAGGCATGTTTCAGTTAGGCATTTAATTTTTGTTGATTTGAAACTTCCAGTAGTAGGCTTTTTAAAAGTGGAGGAGCTGATTTTTAAGGGAACCACAAGATTTCTGTTAAATCTTTTCACGAATGGAGAGAGTATTTATTTATTTTTTTTTTTTTATGTTTACAAATTTGAAATAAATAGTGTATTAAACCAGAATTTCTTCTTGAGTATTAGTTGGTAGAATATTTGTTTCAAATAAGGTGGTAAAGAACTTTACAAGACATTAAGCTGAACAGTAACTGTACAGTTGCTATTAGCATATAAGAGGTAGAGTGAATATGTAAAGCTACTTTGCTTATAGGGTATTTCCAATGTTCTGGCAATTAAGATCTAGTTCAGTAGACCAGAGAACAAGTTTCTAGAACAAGTTGCCAGATAGGTTTTGACATGTTTATGCAGGATTATTTATGCCTATTCATTTGACTGCACAGGCACATTTTTGTAAGCATGAGAGATGAAGCAATCATTTTCTTTTTATGGAAAGAGGGTGTAAAAACTTCAGAAAATGTTCAGTGTCTGCAAGGAGTATTCTATTCACACACCTGTTCTTGCATTTGGGATTGGATTATTTAATTATGACAAAGCACACGAGGGCTATCTACCTAAAGGGAGGGATGCCTTTGTGGAGGACTTTCTAAGAGAAACTGGCTCGTGTATACGTTGCACATGGGGAAAACCACAAAAACGTCAATGCAGCCAGCCTGTTCGCGGGGCTCGAATCTCGGACTGAACTACCAGTGTTCAGCGTCTTTACTGCTCGGCCGCTGGTGGGTACTCTTGCATTTAGGAAAAACTTGCAGTGTTTTTTGATTTAATAATTTAGCCGTGCCATAAATAATGGGTTGATGAGATACCAAAAAGTTCTTTGAGAAAGACTTAAAAATTCCTTTTCCATTGGGATTCAATTAATTAGAGATGTTGAAAAACTGCATTGTAATATTGATGAAAATTGACAAAATAAAAATATACCTAGAGCTTTGGTTATTGTACACTCACTTCCAAAAGTTAAGCACAAAGATGTAAAATGGGGGGAGGGAAACAACAACAACAAATACTGCTTTGATTGACACAAAATTCGGCAGGAAAGTAACGTATATATTTATGCATAAAACAAAATCAATACTTATATACAGAAATGAAAACAATATTAAATTTTTGCAAGTTATCAGATAATGACATACTGGAGACTTAAATAGAATTATGTATAAAGGGAAAATAAACAGCATAAAATGAAAAAAAAAGGACATTATATTTGCCTCTCATCAGTATGCAAAGTGTGCACCTTGTGACATTGCTTTCAATTAGGTGGTGGTCAACCACCGCAGAATTAAGCAATCGGTATTCTTCTTGTAAAGCAGTTTCCAGCTCAATAAGAGTGGCTGGAGGTGGGAAACGGGAAGCTATAGCACGGCCGAGAGCATCCCAAAGATTTTCAATGGGATTAAGGTCGAGCGTATATGATGGCCATGCCATACGTGCAATCTCTTCACTCTCCAGGTAGTCTTCGATGATGTCAGCTCTATGGGGACGTGCATTATCGTCCATTAAAACAAAAGTAGGGCCAACTGCTGCAGCGTACAATCTCACAATGGGTTCTAGGACTTCATCTCGATACCGGACAGCCGTCAAAGAACCCCGTCTAAAGATGTGCAGGTCGGTGTGGTACCTAATGAAATCCATGCCCACACCATAATGCTTCCGCCTCGGAATGTGTGATGTTTTGGGACTGATTGCATGTTCATTGTTCATGCCATATCCTTATACACTTGTCATCTGGCTCCAGAGCAAATTTTGACTCATCAGCAAACATGTCATTGCCCCAGTCAGACGCATTCCAATTGACATGTTCCCGCCACCACTGTAGTTGCGCCCATCTTGATTGGACAAATAGAGGAACACAAACTCAAGGTACCTGGGCATACAGTACGCTCATATGTAATCTGCTTACAGTAACTGCAGATGTTGCCTTACCAATGGACGCTGTAATCATGGATGTCACCCGTTTGGAGGTCGCTGTGCGATTCCACTTGGCTAATATAGCAATATATCGATCTTCCGCGGGGGTTGTAACCATTGGGCGACCGGCTACGGGCCGTCGGACAACTGTCTGCAGGGTTTATAATTGTTTCTATAAACGTAAAATTGCAGAATAATAACTGCGAAGAAAAGAGCAACATCTGTGATCTACGAAAGTTTTAAACGCCTTCTATCAGCACTTATAATTAACTTCTGTAACCCTTCATAAAGACTGCCTTTTTTGCATATTTCTTGACATAAAAGCCCGATTGTCTGTTACCTAACATATTTGCATACTTCCATCTACTTCTGCAGCGAATTGCATCCTCTTCAATTCTGACTGGCTTCCGGAAAACAGCATTTTCCTCTCCGTGCTTAACTTTTGAAAGGGAATGTATTTACAGCGCTTTTAAACATGAAATAATTACTTTTAATAAATTAAAAATATGAATAAACTATTCCTGTAAATTTCTTGCTTCTAAAGTGTAGTCCTAGTAATTATTAATATGTTGAGTAAAGTATTGCTATTGGTGCTTATTATTTTATTTAAATGTATAGTTGTGGTAAGGTTACATTGTTGTTTTTCTGTGTAAAAAATAAACAACTAGCAGATGTTGTCCATTTTTTTTCCAGAATTTTTCTTTTAGTGTATCTATTACTGGTAAACCTTTGTTTTAATTATTATTTGCATTAATCTTTTATAATATTGTATATTTTTGTCTGCAGCCTGATCCAGAAAAACTGGAGAAGATAGTCGAAGAGCTACGAAAAACACACCAAGAAGCTAAATTGAAAGCAAAAGGAATTTCAGCTATAAATAATCTAACTAATTTATCTCCTGCATCACAGCCATGTAAGTATTGTCTTGTTTCATATTTTTATAGATGGAAGATCATCTTCCGGGAAGTGAATTAGTGAATTTCATTTTTGGTTTTGGCATTTGTATTGTACATTTTTAATATATTAAAGTAAATTTTTACTCAAATTCTTTTGCCATTTTAATCAAAATATTTTGGAATATTATTGAAGGGGGAAGACAATAATAGTCAGACTTGTGAGCATATATGGAAATTTTTTAGCAGGTTTGTTTTTGGGCAGGGAGAAGGGCAGCTGCTGCATTTAGGTGTATCACATTGGACGTTTATTGAGATCAAAAAGTCGAATTACTCATAGCCATATTATAAATTATATAAAAGCTATATTATAAATTATTATAAAATTTTTGTGAGTTGGAGGTATTTTTCTGTAAATCTAATAAATTTATTCAGCATATGTCTGTTGAGATTTATTAAATCGTGGCATACTTTTTCTGGATATCTTAGTTTGATGAACTGAAAATTTTATGTAGTTTTACTGTATCATATAATTTATTTGCTGTTTGGTAATTGATTTTTTTTAACAGGTTCACCTAGTAATGGCACAAGAGCTTCCCCAACTGATTCTAAGAAAGAGAAGAGTGATATAAAGCACAATAATATTAGTCCAAAGTATGTAGATACGTTTGAATCTTTCCTTAATAAGTCTTTTGTGTTTTGAAGATGTTTGTGTTTGAGAATGTGCTTTCTGGAGTATGAGAATAATTATATATTGTGGATTTTACTTATTGATAGAAATATCTGAATCCTCTTACAAGTTAGTGAATCAAGTTACAAGTTGACTTTATTTTATAATTCACATATTGTTATATTTTAAGGTTTTTAAATTTACTTCTCTATATTAAGATTTTAAAAGCAAAGTTTCTTTTTCATTTCGTTGAACTTATTAAATTAGAATCTTGGTTTTCTGGAACATTAATTTCATGCTTCCTGTATATTTCTCATTTGTAAGATGCATGCCTGTCAAGACAGGAGTAATGTACTCAAAGATTTGTAGATCCCCATACGCTGTGAAAACATTTTCATGTGCAGTTAATGGTTTGACCAAAATCATAAAAGAGATGAAATACTAATTTCATAATAAACATTAAGAAAATTAGAATAATTTTTTATATATTACAGAAAATTTACAATAAAATTATAAATCATTGTGGAATTAACTGTAATTGACTTTGATGAAAAAGCATGACTTCTTTTAGAAATACAGATGTCAAGCAGAGTCTACTGTAGTAGCTTGAGTAAATTTAGAGTAGTAGATTGAAATTCTGCCTCTAGAATATGAGAATTTATGCAAGCATTTTTTTTTTTTATATATATATATATATATATATATAGATTTAAGGAGTTGAATCACAGGAAGCGTAGAAGTCCTTCACCTTTGGAGGATGGTTACCAGAGTCCAAACGGTAAGAAGAGGGCCAAGACAAGCTCATCAGGTAGTGGAACAAGCCGTAGTCCTAGCCCAAAGCGAAAGCAGAAAACTCCTCCAAGAGGTTTTAAAGAATCACATCGATCACGCTCACGCTCCAGGTCTAAAACAAGGAACTCTAAAAAACCAAAGCATCGTTCATCGCACAAAAGGAAACATAGTCACAGTGTTTCTCCAGGAACCTCGCCAAGTCATCACAGTAGCAAAAAGGCTTACAAAAGTAAGCATTCTGAAAAAACTCACCACAATAGATCTCGCTCTCGATCTCATGAGCGTAATCATCATTCAGTTTCCTTGCATGAAAAAACGCACAAATCTCGCAAAGATAGAGCAAAAGAAAATCATCATTCCAGGGATAAGAAAAGAAGGTGATAGCTTATATATTAGATAGATTTTTTAATATATTTCACTTCATTTGTACATATATTGTATGATACCTTCAGGGTGGATGTAAATATTTTCATGGAGATGAAGCATAGAAGTGAAATGAACTTAATCTGTTTCATTGATGCATATTTGTCAAAATTCTCAAATATAATTTTTTTTTTTTTTTTTTTTTTTTTTTTTTTGGATAATTTGGCAAAGAGTTGCATGTATTCTGTCATCCTTATTTCTGGTATTTATGCAAATAGAGAAAATGAAAAATGTGCCATAGCTTTAATAATTATTTATTTTTCATGCCTCATACTAGAGAACCTCTTGTGGTTTCGCTATTTGTGAAATATATAGTACTTATATAGTAGTTAAATCATTTGGTGTTTCATTTTAATCTAAAATAGCATAAATATATGTTAGATCAAAATGGTAATTTTAACACAGTGGCAATAATTCATTTGTGTTACAAAAGTGCATTTAATTGTGATTTTCAGTTTTCAACAGCATCTCAGAAAATGTACAGGTCAGTTTACTTCAAAAAATTTTCTTTTAAAAAAAGCTTCATTATGTTCCATAGTAATGTGTTTTAAGATTTTATTGATTTGTAGTAATGAATGCAGAAATATTAGTTCCCTTTTCATTTTTTCATCTTAAAAATTTCTGTTATAGAATAAATGTGCTAAAATTAGTCAATTATTTCTTAAGCATGTTTCTATAGTATTATGCACTGCCATAAAATAACTTATTTTTTTATTTCCGTTTGAGTCTCTAATAAGATGCCCTCTCTCCAGCTTCTTCTAAATAACGTGTACCAGAATTTCATGTAAAGCATGTCAGATGCTTAAAACAAGGTCTGGCACAACAAACAATCATGCTAACACAATTATAAAATAGGACTAAAATTTATTTTATTCTGATTTAATCATTGACTGAAGAATTATGAATTAAATTTCTTATAAACTTGCTGCTATTTATGATATATAAATTACTTATAAGCAGAACAGTTAATTGAGCAATGACCATATGTATCTATGCATAGGCTGTCAACATATGTCTAGCTGAACTATTGCATTTGTTGTTTAGCATTGATTTTTAATTACAGTGTCAAATTTTGAGTTTTTATTATTTTGTTAGTAGGAATAATGGCCTAATAATTATTCTAAGTAAATCGTATGTTCTACTTTTTGTTTGTACTTGTTTAAATGCTTCTGAAGTGAATAAATACTGAGGAATTTAAATATAAGAAAGCTTAAAAGTATTGACAAAAAATAAATAAAAGTGTGCTGCCTGTATCATAATAGTAGCTATTAAAATGTGTTTAACATTTTTTATGAAGTCTGTCTGGAAGAAAATGAAATTAGTGCATATAACACAGCTAAATTGCATATATATATGAAGAAATGAAAAATGTAGGTAGATAATGAATAATGTGTAAATGTCATTTTAAAAGGAAATAAAAATCAAATGAAAATGTGAAGAATACTGATTATCAATATATTTTGACTAATTCAGTAATAAAACATTAAAGTACACACTGTACTTTCATAAAAAAGTAATTCCATTATTATACAGCTTGTCAGCATGAAAGGCCTAAGTATTAAGCTTAATTTATTGCATACATGATATTTCTGTTTTGAAATATATACAGCATGATCACTAAAAATTCTGATAATCTTAGTTACTGCTTAATTTTTTTTAAGGATACAAAACAGTTTTAATAAGCATTTAGCAACTGCTTTAAACACTTAGAAACTATAAAGTGCAGCAAATATTTTGCCAGACTGTATTAACAGTGATTGAATGTTATGAACTCTCTATAAAGTACATACATACACAGATATTTATTTGGTATATATACTTTTATCTTCCACACAAAAGAATAGTTTCATCTTAGGATAGCTTTGGTTTGCTTTGCTCACAGAACTCTGAGTAGGTAGTCAGTGAAACCTTGCACCTTACTTACACATTTTTGATATTCAGTGCATTTTTTATTTCTAGAAAAATGCGAAAAGGTCTGTATCTGCCATAGTTTTTAAAATGTCAAGATTTTTGTTTTTTAATTAAAAGGTTTGAACAGTAAGTTTATGTAGCAGAAATGATTGTTACATACCATAAACAAATCTGAAATAGGCATTCTAATTGTTCACCAAAATTTACCAGAATTCTCAGTCAGTTTTCGAAAAATTCCAGACCTCTACATTGCTTATCCCCCTCATATTGTCATTCTCTTCCAGAACAGTGACATGTAACTCCCTCATTATTTTTTATGTTGATAAATAAATAAAATGGAGAAAGGTAATGAAATTTCTGAAAATATGAAGTTTTGAATAAGATTTAGAAATCACGAAAAGGTATGGAGATTCGTGTCAGGTGCAAAAATTATTTAATTTTGCATATTTTAGTGTTTTAAATTGTTTGAATGTACACTGCTAGCATTTTCCTGGTTTATCTCTGGATATGTTTTCTCAAAATGTCTGATTTAAGAATTTAAACCCTATGGGTTTTGTAAATAATTCTTTTATGAAATAAATGATTTTCACTCTTTATTTTGTTTGTTATCTGCTGTGTTCATTTGATAGTGTCTGTTTTACATACTTGTTTTGTATTTGGCTAAATAGGAAATTGAAATAGGCATTCTAATGGTTCACCAAGAGAAAGTTGACATGTTATTGCTAAATCATGCGAATACTCACTAACCCTTCTTCATTTTTTAAAACTGAAAGCAACATATTAAAATCATGTGCTATTTATAAAAATTTGGTACTTCAGTGTGTGTTAAGCTTGATTATTCTAGTATACATGAAAAATGTTAACTGAACAGTTTCTTGCATATAAAATATGGTTTCCTAATTCTTGATGTCTAGGAATTTTTAGAGTGCAGAAGTCAAATTGTTACTATGGCATTAGTGTTAAAAGGTGGATTTATGGAATTAGTGAACCCATCTCTTCTTTTTATCATACTTAGTCTTCATAAATCATAACTTCATAAAAATAATGTATATAACTTAACCTTTTCATGGGGCTCTAGAAACTGAATTTTTATGTATTAAAGCCATTAGTCAATCAGCAACACAAGGAAAAAGAAATAGTCTCCCATTTTCTGTCTTACATTAAGTTAAAAAAAAAAAAAAAATTAACCTCATTTAATATAGTACATGCACAAGATATGTATGTCTCAGCCATCTGGAATAATTTTGAGCAAAGTGTCATTCATATGCAAAAGTATCTAGAGCATCTCAGTTTAGTTTGTATCAAAGTACAGAATTTTTTTTCTTTTTCTTTCTGTACTGCCATCCTCTAAATTTAGAATTAGATTTCGTTAAAAAATTTCAACTGGATTTGAGCTATGTATAGTCAGGGCAAGGTTCTTTAATATACTAAGGTTAGGCCAGGAACGGAAAAGCGTGCCATTGGTTGCTGGTAGTGACGTCACCCGGGAGACAAGATGCATCGGCCGACGCGTCTGCTACATGATTTTGGTACTGGAAAAAGTGTAAACTAAAGCAAAATGATCATTTTATATGTGGTAGATACACCGGAAATACCGGGTATATACTTTCCGATTAAGTATTTTGTTAAAGAAAATGTTTATTTTATGCACAGAATTCGTATGAATGCTGAAAATAATTGTAAACATTAAATTCTTTTCGTAAAGGAAAGCATTAGAAAATGAAAAACGATATTTAAGTTAATTAAGGGAAATAAATATTGTAAAACAAGGTATTTTTCAATATTTTTCGTAGTATTGTTTGCACTAAATAAATCTTGTTGAACAGAACACATGATAGGCATAACTGCTAAGACCATGGTAAAAAACATAATCAAAAAGTATTATTCTATTTATTTTCATTGCTCATGCACTTTTTTTAATACAAATGAACTTTGACATTCCATGAGAAATATATGATCGTGATTTTCAGTTTAAATTACATATCTCAAGCAAAAATATATATAAAAAGATTTGACTTAACAAATTCATATTTAAATACCATAAAATTCTACAAATTTCTTAATATCCGTCATTATACTTTTAAATAGTATACTTATCACATTCTTTTTAAAGTGAAAAGTCACTTCATACTGATTCACTTCAGATTTTAGCAGAAGTGCGTATATTTTCAGTATAATCTAAAAGTACTCTTATAATCCCTTACACTCCCAACAAGATTTCTATATAACATTTATCCTGACGTGATTATTTGCTATAGTAAATAATCTTCGATATTGGCATCCTATTCTTCCTTCCATACATTAAAAATGGAACAATTAAAATACATTTTCTTACACATATACGCACAATAATAATAATAATAAACTTGCCCTACATCTTAGTTTCGGCCCACCAGCGGCCGAGCGGTAAAGTCGCTGAACACTGGTAGTTCGGTCCGAATCCCGCAAAACGGGCTGGCCTGCATGGGTGTTTTCGTGGTTTTCCTCATGCGTAACGTGTATATGAGCCAGTTTCCCTGAGAAAGTCCTCCACGAAGGCATCACACCTATTACGCAGATAGCCCTAGTGTGCTTTGCCATAATTAAATACACCACCACATCTTAATTTCAATTCAGCCTGTACACAAATTAAATATTTTTAATTACTAATGTATTTTTATCAGGTTATTTCTTAAAATACTTTTGTTATACTCGAAAATATGTGTTCAATATTGAATTATTTTTCTTTCTCTTATAATTAAAAACAAGTTATATGGAATCAAAATTAAAACATATGCAGCAGTTAAATAACACTGAACCGAATATCTTACTTACTCTTTCGCTATTTGTATTCTGGCATTATACACAGATTTGTTTTCCTTCAGGTTCAAGCATGTGTAAGTTATATCAATTAAATTACATCACACATACCTGTATGCATCAGTTAAATAACACTGAAGGAAATATGTCACTCACTCATTCGATGTTTGCATCATAGTGTGGTCGAGAAATTGTTCTTTCCTCACGGTGAGGCATGTATCAGTTTACTTAGTTCGCAAAGCTTAACCCAGACGCTGCTTCAATACATAGAATTACGTTTGGGATGTAAAGAAAGTAACCAAAACATGTGAATGAAGTTGGATACGCGAATTTATTAACTAATCATTCAGGTACTCAGTATTGGTAAACATGACACTGAGTTTAAATATCTCACTATGATGTAAGTCTCATACACAAAATGAAGATTATGATAAAAAATGATTTAAAATGAGAAATTTTTCAATTTAAATGTAAAATAGCAGTAAAATGAAAAATAAATGTAAAATTATATCACATTTATGTATGAAAATTACATAAATTCATTTCGCTGTTTTCATTTTGGCAATAGTTTTACAATATTTTAAATCTGAAAAATAAACAAGGTATAATGCTATAAAGCACAATTTATGAAACAGCTTTTAGCAAAAGCAAAATTAGCTATGTAGATAATTAACCCTCTAAGTGGCAAGGTCGTATATATACGTCCTAGAATATATTTTGTGATATCTGTAAGAACATATATATATGTGCATATTAAAATATGTCTAAGAAATTAAGGCAATATATCAAAAGAAAACAAATCCAGGTATGAAATACCAAGAGAGTTTTCACATTAAAATAAAAAAAAAAAAAAAAAAGTTTGTTCTCATAGTAGTTTTGGGAAATTTGTGCTTTCTTAGAGAAAACCCTGGCTGCTGAGAGGGTTAAAAATGTCTTGTTTTTAATTTTTTCATAGTAAGAGTTTTTCCCATGTAATTGTCTCAGAATATTCAAAATTCTCAGTTTTCTCTATAAAATTAATTTTATACTTTTTTCCAAAATATTTCTGCCTTTTTTCTGTTACAGAAATGGTAGGGATAATTTTTCTTTAGGATTTTAGATATTGCAGCTTGGAAAGTTTAGAAGGATTTGAAGGCAAGATGTATAGACCCACGATTCTAGAAGATTCGAGAAATACGTGATAAAATGAAAAATATCTCCATGGTATCAACACGTAGTGGATGTATTTTACAGAAAGTTTGCAATGAATTTCTTAATTTTGTGAGAACATCTGGAAGAACAATGAAAACATAATATTTGAATATTACTTCTGATGCTAGAATTTTAGCATGTTTATCTTCTGTTTATTTTCTCTACTTTTCACTAGACAGAAGCATGGAAAATATCAAAAATGCTTCTGATCTTATCACTTGAGAAGGCATTATAGAAAGGGATTTTTTTTATTAATAAAGAAATTGAAAACTTACAGTTTAAAAGATTCATCTAATATTTCTTAATGCATAGCTGGCACTAAACATTTTCCCACCTGATGCAATCTCTGTGCATCCTAAATTCTGTTTCCAGTGCTTGCTCTAAATTCTAAAAGTTTTGCCATTTCTAGATTTTGTTGTTCAGTGTGTCACTAAATTCTAGAAATACTGCCACATCAGCTCTGTAACTGTCCTTTACTATATATATTTCATATTGCTACTGAATGTTCATATTACTAAAGAAATAAAATTAGCCGCTTTTTCTGTACATTCTAAATGCATTTAGTGTTTTTTAGAATTAACGGAAATCCATTAATTAAATCCAAAAATTCTAAAATGAAAAGGAAACGTGTTGAAAGAAACCGAGTACATAATGGAAATTATTCTTCAAAGATATGGGCAGTTATTATGTAAATTACCCATTAGTTTATGATTTCAACCGTTACTATAATTTCCCATTTCTATTTCCTCATATGATAGTTATTGAGCCACATTAAATTAAATTGTATAATCTTTGACGACTAGTCCACATTTTTAGTTTGAATTTGACTGTTCTTGTTTAATTACATCACCGTAAGCTGTAATTGATTTTTTAGCGTAAGAACATGACTTTATGTTTTAAATAATCTTTTTAAATAAGAGGCTTATTTAAACCTTTGTCTGATATTGTAGTTACTTTGAGATGTAGCGATAATATGCTTCACGTCTGTCAGGGTTTTAGACTATTTAATTTTTACCAGATCAATTAAACCCTCATAGGTACATTATGGAGAGGTTGACAAGTTAGGAGATGAAGCACGCAGAAACTAGTGAGAGCATTGGTTTGCATATTGAGATAAGTCTCTAATTGTTAGGAAAGATGCTTAAAAGAGAAGGAAATTGATATAAATGGTCAAATAGGACCAACTATCATAAGTGTAAAATATTTATTGCTATTTGATAAATTGCATAGTTTATTTTATTCTCAAACTTATTAACAAATATGTTAATTCATGTTTAGTAATAATGTGTACTACTTAGGGATCTATTTTATTTTTAGGATGGTATTACAAAAGTGAAATTCAGGCATAGATAATATCTTCAATTGAATTTATTCGGTTCCCGTTTGCTCATAGGTGCCTAATTTTTTTCCTTAATGGTCCTTAAAAGTACTTAATTTCCGTGTACAGAAATGTGTACGAACCCTGATAGAGTCTTGTAGCAAACTCAGCTATGTGCAGTTGTAATACTCATTCTTAAAATGGTTAAAATATTTCTTTTTTACTCGGAACAAACCATTTATTTTTTCATACAGAATTAATAAAATTTCCTTCAGCAGCTTAAAATGA